GTCAGGAATCATATATGAGAAAGTATGTTACTGCTTCCCATATTTGTAGTGGGTAGATCTGAATTCAGGACATTATCCAGCATCTCAGAACCATATCTAAATCGCCAATAAAAGCACTCAGGGAGATGGTAAATCATTTTATTCTATGACATTGATATGGTTTCATGTAACCCCTGTTCCAGATCCCTGACTATTTTAACTTTCTTCTCACCAGTTCATCCAACAACACATTCTTTAAGCTGCTTTATATGAAGCTTTTTCTTTCTCCCATGTCTTGATAATTACGTGAGTCCACTCTGAGTCCCTCAGCTTTCTCCTCCTTTACCACATCCATCTTTGTCTGTCACAGAGGGCACAGAAAGCACAAAAAGACATACTCCAGCTTCTCTACTCTTGTGAAAAATGGGTCAGTCAGTTTTGTGCTCCTCCCTACCTTCCACCCTTTGTATACAGTTATATCCTGTCTGCCCTACCGTTCATGTTTGTTCTCTTAGACAGTAAATTCTTCATATCAAACACTCCAGATACTCTTTAACACTTGGCTTATTTTGGATGTTGCTATAGTATAGATAATGAAACTATATTCCACAGACCTGAACTTCATCTCACAACAAAAAGACCCACCCAAACACTGTGCATAATTGCTAATGTTTTTAAGTCATAAAAAGTAATGTTAGAGTCTATTTTTAGACATTGTGTTAAGTTTCACTCACTTTTGATAATCTACATTTTCCTTTTGTGGAGTTATGTTTTGTTTATAGTTTAGAAATTGTGTGTTAGATCTCACACGATGACCTTTAAAATAAACCGAGCTTAACATCTTGATATCCACAATGGCGTGGGAGTCTAAAGATGTGGTTGAAGATACTTGTTTCTCGTTAGGAGGAAACTAATGACAGATTACGCCACTTCCTCGCTTATCAAGGAAGATCCTCTTGGTGCTAGTTTTATGTTAAACTACAGCAGTTCATGATGCACTGTGGGTGTGTTTATAATATATATACACAGGTTGTTGACAAAGCTCAATATTGTATATTGTTCATTAATTGACTAATCTATACAAATTAGCAGAATACATTTGGTAGCTTTTAACTGCCATGCGAAGGTTATGAACTTGTCCACAAAATCAATAGATGGGAAATATACTGGATGGAACATGCCAGACATTTCCCAGTTCCATTTCTTGAACCACAAGGTAGCATATCAGACAACTGCACATGCAGTTGGTCTGTACCTTCTCATCTTGCTAACACCTGTGGTAATTTGCCTAGAAGTGTCAAAGAATGAAAATTATTACATTATTTTAAATCAGCTGCAGCATAGGCAGTAACATTACAAACTCCACAGAAGCCTGCATCACTGACCCCGAGTCCTGATCTGGAGATACTGTACTAGAAAGGGCTAAAAAAAAAAAGTAATTGCTCTCTTCTTTTTCTGCCACTGATGTTTGTGCTGAGGTTGTCAACAGGATGTTTCATGCTAAGAACTGGATTGTAACCAGCAACTCATTCCACTTTAGTTAAAACATCCTTACCGCCTGCGTAGGTATTATCGTGAGCACAGGTGCTAGAGCAAAAGGCTCCTTACCCAGCTGTGTTTTCCACCTTCATAATTCATCTGAGGTATTCTTGCTACATCGCTCTTCTAGCCAGTCTTTACATGTCAAGCAAGACACTTCAGGTGTTGACTGATATTTGGTGGCAGATTTGTTGGGGTCAGCAAAGGTGCTGGCCACTCTCAGCTGTCTGCTCTGCCCCTGTGCTAGATGCCCCCACTGAAGAGGTAACATGCATGCAGTTACCATGTTAGGAAGTACCATAACAAAAAACAACACTGACACCAGTTGAACGCTACCAGCTGCACACTACAGAAGTCAAGGAAGATGTGAGCTGCTTGTCGATCTCTACCTACAGAAGCAATCATTGCCAACCAAAGATAGGAAGACAACTTTTTTGTCATGCCAGCCTTCTTGAATGGAGGTCAATGCCTGTACAATACTGTTCTACTCATTCAGGTGCAACAGCTGAATTGCAAATCCGTTTTAGTTTACCCAGGGATGCAAGAAAGGCTTGCAATGTAAATTCAGGTATTAACAAGATGACTATTTATGTTCAGATAAAAAGATTGGTCAGCTTGACACGCCTACGCTAAATATTGAGGTAGAAGAAAAGAATGGTATTTACAAAAGCTAACTTTAGCTTAGCAAGTCTAAGAAAACAAATGAGTAGAAACTATTCTGAATTACCATTTGAAAACCCTTGCTTCCCCATCCACACTGACCTGAGTGAAAAGTAGCCTCAATAAGCTAAGATTAACTTTTGTCAGTATCCCAAAATCTGTTGTAAGTTACAAACAACTTCTTCTCTAAAGGCCAAGCTGTATTTAGTGAAAATCCCTTTAAGTCAGTTATAAAAAAAGCCAACCAAACTTATTGATGCAAGAAGGAATACAGTTAGCTGCTTTCTGTGAGTCTAGGATCCGGAGGAATATACCTCCTATTTCCTTATATGCACTTTTATCTTTGCAACGAGCAGCAATAAACTACAGACCTAGGTGATAGTTCTGGCCTTAAAACAGAAGCATTTTCCACTGGCCCCAGGTACCTACTTTGCAAGAATATAATTAGAGGATTAGAATGTCCTAAAACAAGACAGCTACTATGTTACCCCTCTCATTCTCCCACAGGGGAAGTTTTCGTGGCTTGAGGATCAGGTTTGGCTCCCATAAACCCTGTCAAATTTGTAAAGGAGAGTGTTTGCTTTTCATACACACATACCTAGAAACATAGTCATTGACTGTTTTGTTGGGCCATGTAGGATGTCAGTACAATGACAGTGTGCATGTGGGGCTCTAAAGCACAGGGGAAGTGAGAAGAGTGAACTGTGTGGGCGAAGCGTTCTCTCCGACCAGGTGATCCGGTGAATTCACCGGCTGGGCTGAGGGAGAAATAGTATGCACAATGGCAGTCTAGCACTGATAGGTGAAGATGTGAGTTGGGTTTTGTTTTTTTTTTTTTTTTTTTTTTAACAGGATGAGGTTAGCTCTTCCTTTCATGGAAATACATCAACCCTTTCTGGAAAATCTCCTTTTCATCTAAATCACTTTTTTTTTAAAAATTAAATTAAGTTGTATGAAAAAAATAACAAAGTGGGGGCGGAACAAATCTGTTTGTCTTCAGCATGTTCCTCTACAAGAAGAAATGAAATGGAAACTCTGTCCTCCATCATACTCTGAGCTGCATTTGCTTCTGTAACACAGTAGCATAGGGCGTAACTTTAAATAAATGGTGTGTTACACATTTTGCTTCTGCCAAAGAATGGAGAATCCTTCTACTCTGGGCTTAGAAAGTTTAAGTATTGAATAGGAACATGAGGAAAACGGGTAACTGCTGAATCTACGGGTAAGTGCTGAACGAGTACTATTGTACAGAAAGACATCAGTGGGTAGTTTTCCTTTTTTTCTTTTGCCTTTCACCTACAGGATATGCGCACATCTTAGGTCACACTACATAGTCTTGCATGTTACCTCTACCAGTGAGAAAACTACCACTGATTTTACAGTCTACATCACAACTGATAAAAGTTAACGTGAGAAAACATAGTTTATTAAATCTCCATTAATTCAGTAGTCATAATGCAGTATTGGGCGACAAACATTGTAAGTATTACAACTGTTTTCCACACTCAGGCAGAGCAAAACATGAAAGCTGGTATTAGCTGTAATAAGAGAATGTCACAGGGCAGCAAGGTAGTAAAGTAGAATTACCATGTCACTGATATGACAGGTAAGCACCATGGTCTAACTGTATAGTGATTTACTGGCTTCATCCTGCAGTCTCAATATTCCAGCTTTCTGAACTGGTATCATTCTGATGGCCCTGCAAACACTCCATCTGCTGTTCCATCTCACCTAAGGAATTGAACATTCAATGTTTGGATAACTTCTGAAAAAAAAAAAAACCCCCAAAAAAGTATTGTATGCTGTACAGGGGAAATAAATGCACGCTTCTGCTGAAGTGAAACTGTCCCATATTGTTTTTTAACACTCTTAAGATCTCATGGGGTTTGTGGTTCATATAGGTACCTCTAACCAGACATGTTTACTTATGTTCTGTCTGGTGTCCAGGATTTGGCTCTATTTCAGCACACTGAGAAGAAAACAACGACAATGGTTTCAGCTTTTCAATTGTTTGTTGCCTGGGACTTATATGACTATGTAACTAGAGCAGATACACAAATGACCAAGAAATTTGTTTTAAATTTTATGATTCAGAGAACTAGTGAAACAGTAAAGTACTAAATGGCATTCACATCTTTGTGCTCAAGCCTGAGGAACTTCAACAAAATTGCAGTAGAAATAAGAGTGCACTGAATCAAATCACGTAGGTCACTGAGAAGCTTCCCAATGAAGTTTGAATAGAGCCTAATTTTTTTTTTTCTTAACTCAAAAGAAGAATGTTCTCCAACACTTGAAATTGGAAAAGGTAAAAAGTACTAGCTTTTAGTTTAATATCTTTGTAACTCACTTTTCTCAGACCACAATGAGGGAAATAATTTTATCAGTTTCTTTTTAAGAAGTTTAACATGAAAGCCTATGACCAAATGCTAACAATCCTTGCTAACATCTGTGCACAGAATAGGCAGTGACAAGTATACAGGCATGCACGGCACATGCAGCATCCTAACACTGCATAGATCAACAAAAAACCCTTATTAGGAAAGGTAAAATGTTTATACAGTTTTAAATCTGCTAAAAAGTACAGATTGAAGATCTGTACTCAAATCAAGTTCTGTCAGCTCTATGCAATAGAATACTAACAAAAAAAAAAAAATCTGTGTTCACAACTATAGATTATAACCATTTCAGTTACAAATCACCAAACTATAATTTTTAAAGGCAGATAACAGGAAGCTCATTTTTCGTATCAAACACAATGACACACCGAAGCATTAACAAAACAAGGAAAATTAAGTTAAATGACTAAAGCGTCAGATTTGTACTACAGTGCTTTGTAAACTCTCACAAGAGGATCCCTCTCAGACAATAACTTTCTAAAAATGGAAAACAGAGACTCTCCCACCATGCCAGGGCAAGGGAAAAGTATTTCTTTATTTATCTAATAGATATTTAACAGGCAGATTCACATTAACTCCTACAACACAGTTTCATTTGAGAGCTAAGTGAACACCACAAATGTTGTCTATTTTTTAAGCCTCCTCTCATAAAACCACTGAGGTTAATACTCCTTTGAGTAAGGATGACTGGACTAGACTCCCTATGGAGCTCATCAATTCTTCTCCTTAACTGACCTAGGCAACTGCTGTTTAACAATACATGAGGCACTCCCTCCTCACCAAAGGCTTTGCATCTTGCTTTTAATGTTTTTCATCAGCTTTGTCATCAGAAACTCTGATTAAAAGCCTCAAACATCAGCCTCCTGCACCGTGGTACAGACGGAAACTTAAGCCTTACAGGCCATCTCATCAACATAGCTTCTTGACTTACAGCCCGAACAAAAGTAAACTCCTGTTTATTACGGCAACAGCTCTCACATATATTGAGCTTGTAGGTTTGATTAAAGAAGTGGCAATAAAATGCTTTTGTGAATGAAGACTTCTAGCTAACACCTGTTTGGGACCTCTTGCTATCTTGTCAGTTAACGTCTTTGAAAAGCATGCCCTTCTGCAGGTCCTAACGGGTAAGTAAAAACCAAACCAAAACAAAAAACATCCTAACTCCCCCTCCTCCCCCAGCAACCCAAGGCATGCTTACTCTTTGAATCAGAGAGCAGCTGAGCTGACATGTGGTTCACTTGCCAGCTTTCTGAAATTGCAGTACTGGGGAACTCTAGGATTTTGATATTCAAACTCTGTATTTGTACCACCAACATTTAACCTCACATTCCAGGGCGGGGTTGGGCTCAGAGCCTGGGACATTCCAAAAAGCATTCCAACCAGCAAGACCCCAGAGGTAGCCCCACAGCAAGCGCATCGATGCTAAAAGGCTAGTAAAAATATCTTTGCATTCCCATTTCTAATAAGCAGGCTACATGCAGGCTACAGGGAGGACGAGTTACAGTACTCCCCATACTGTGGATCACACTTTGGCAGGTATCGTTAGGAAAAGTTTCTGCAGCATCAGTACCAAGCAACAAAACAACTACTTTTTTGTTTGCTTGCTGTAGCCTTGTGATAGAAAAAAAAACAGTTGCTTCACTGAATTCCATAGGATTAATAGTGAAGCATTTTTACTAAGCAAACACTTAAAATAGAGTGCAGCTTTGGTGAGTATTGACCAAGTATCGTATTTACACCACATTGAAATTAAAAAAAAAAAATAAAGTTTTCTGAAGAGTAAGGTTAAATATCCTCCAACCTAACTGCGGTCTCAATTGCCACCGTATGAAAGAATGCAGAAGTGCAATGGCTGGACCATTACATACTGCAGAAGTCAGCGCATTTTCCTGAAAAAAATTTAAAAATTTAAAAAATCTGCCACCTTCTGTTTATGAAAGGTACAGCAGAAAAGAGAAGCACAGGAGAATCTCATGCAGACGAGTCACCACTGCAGTTTGCTCTTTAAAATTAGTGTGAATAGAACAATTGCTAGAAGAAAAGCACTGGTCACTGAAGTAATTACTTTAAAACCAGTGCTAAGAAGGGAACATACATGGCAAACGTTAACTATCCTATCAGTAGAACTGGTTGGGATTAACTGACTGATCAAAGCAGGATAATAAGTCACACGTTAGCTGTAATAGAGTTAACACAACTGCAATCACATAACAAAGTCATTAAGCCAAAACATTCTGACACATACACACACATATATACAATTGCAGCTTTTCTTTACTTCTTTTTGAAACTGATCAAGGGTGTCAAACGTTATGCTTTCTAGCCATTCGCCACAATTTACAGCCCTTCTATATTTAGCACTGAATGTTCATTCCAACAGAATGACTCCTCATTCTCATTTTCACATGCTCTGTTTGGCCTAGCTATGGCCATCCATAACTACAGCACAGACAACCTCATTGATGTATACAAGTATTACAATAAATTACGAGGAGTAAGTGTAAGCATTGGTGACCACATAGTAATTTAAGTAAGGATTTGAAAACATGCACTTAATAGAAAACAAACACACCTCTCAACTTTTAGCACCCATTTGATTTAATATAAATACAATACCTATACTTACAGGCTGGCATTAACACAGTATTTGTTTCAGCCCAGAGCAAGCTATATGTCCAGTATTATCCAATTCTCTCCATCAACCAAGCCAAGGCACATATTCTGTAACATAAGATGACTAGTAAAGTATCTACGTGCTAGGGTATTCATACAACCTTTGCTTAGGCATCTATCTTCAGCTATAGTTCCATGTGAATTTTTGACAAGATGATGCAGAAGTCTGTGTAAAATTTGGTTTTATGTTGAACAGCTGAGCATTCTCAACTGCCACTGGAGTCACCTATCTCTCACCATAAACATGTGCTCTGAATTGCATTTTAAGTCAATTTCTGGAAGGAAACAGTGTGAAAAGTCTACATAGGCTACACCTCACTAAGGAGGTAGGAAGGATGCACATTCATATTGTGTGACAAAATATCAGAAGAACAACAGAACAGGAAAAAAGAAAAAATACTGTTACAAAGGCCTCGGCTCCTATACTGAATGATCCTATCCCTTTTCTGAAAGAGGTCCGTATCAGCTGTGGCAGACTTTCTCCTGAGTGATTTTTCTTTGGGCTTTTCTATGAGTCAAGACAGAAGTTATGTGCTCCCCTTGGTTGGTTTATCTATAAATTAGTCACAATCCAACGTAATTTCCACCAACCCATAGTAATTGCTGCCACACAAGTCCACACTGTATTTAGGTACCACCACCGCTAGCAACTGGGGTTTATCCAAACATTCAATTTTAATTTTAGACAGACAATGATGACAAGAAAAGAAGCCAGATTCTTCTAAGTGGCAAGACAAAAGACAATGGGCACAAATTGAAATACAGGCTATTCCATGCAGACACAAGAAGAAAACCCAAACACTTTAAAACCACTTTTTTTCCACCATAAGGGTGATCCAATGCTGGAACAGGTTGCCAAGAAAGGTCTCAGTTCCAGGAGATACAAGAAACCCAACTAGACACAGTCCTGGGAAACTCATTCTAGTTGACCCTGCTTTGAGTAGAGGGGTTGGACCAGATGATCTCCAGAGGTCCCTTCCAAGCTCAAACATTCTATGATATTAGACCTGGCACGCCAGACTGCTATCAGGACCCAAGAATGACATTTATCTCTATTATTCTATGATGGCTCCAAGTAGTCCTGACAAAAAACAAGATACCCCAAATAGCACTCACAATAGGAAAATGTCTACTTCTGAACTTTGTGATTAATACTGCGAATTCTTTTGCTGCTTAGTGCTAGAATTTCACTCCTAAAGTTATAATAAATGTAAGTAATCATAAGTAACTGCATTTACTGCAATATACAAAATGAGTAAGCAAAACTTTCTTCTTTTTAGACTGTATAGATGTTCTATAAATTACTCTGATGTAAACAGCGACATTTTAAATATGAACACACATACGTTTAATTTCACAAGTTTGAATATTATCTGGTGAGATATTGTTCTTCCATTGTAAAAGAATACTATCACTTGAGGAAAAACATGATGTCCCTGTCATTTCGTTTTCAGACCAGAACTAATAATCTGAAGTATCTCACTCTGTTGAGGGAAACTAAACCACCATTTCAATAAACTCTTAGTAACTTAAATCCCTCAATTTTCTTAATCCATGAAGTCATTTTTGGGGGATTCAAAATTCTAATTTAAATCAGACAAGCTCATCTGGATTACCATGAAATCAGACTGGGTCTGTATCTTCTTTCCACATACAGCATGTATTTATAGCTTACTTTAATAGGAAGTTATGATGATGGCAAACAAAGAAGAAAACATGTGCCTTTGATTAAGACCACCAGTACTGCTCACAGCTAAATACTGAGGCAAACTAGGTCTCATTTCAAGAACAAACACATAAGGCCATATTTGGATGCCCACTATTGCAAGCAACATACATGTAGACATTTACTAGATCTTCCAAGCTCAAAAGAAGAAAACAGCTTAGAGTGCATTCATTCAACAAATACATGGCTACCAGGCTTGGCTCCAACTCTTTATTGGAAAGGCACAACTGTAATACCTAAGACCAGGAAAGGATGGTTAATTGTTATTGTCCTATTTCTGGAGGGTAAAATGTAGTAGAAATTATGAAAGAAGAATGTTATTTTCATGCTTAGTGTTTTAATTTCTAAGTCCTCTCTGCAAAAAACTTCTTTTTGATATATGACGGTTGTAAATAAAGCTTGCAAGACATGCATAAAATGCATGTGACAAAGCCATGTCTACTTAGCTACTAATATTTTCCTACATTAAATTTTCTGATTAACTACATAGTTCCATGATGAATCCACCTGCTTATGAATGATTATTCATATGTCTTTTACCAGCACACTGTAGACTTCTTAAAAATAAAAAACAAGTAATAAAACCAGTGACAAAATTGCTTTGAAAATATCTGATATTTTAAAAAATTTATTGTTTAGTATAAGCTGCTCAATGTTCTTTAAAATCAAGTTACTAATTTACCCTGTCTGAAAGGCACCATAGGGACAGTGAGTGGTGAACAGTAAACATCTCATTGGCATTTTTAACAACTGGGGAATTTATCTGCCTCCAAGAGGATCTGAATGAAACGTGAACAGCAAGATATACAAATAGGAGCTAATTTGTAGCTGCATAGGCACAAACCCTCTAATTTCCATGCTATCGTGGCATCTGAGGCACATTCATGTCAGAAGTTTCTTCAATAAAATTAGCTTTTTTATGGGAAGGCTCAGCAAGATCTTCTCCATGGTCTCTGTTATTCAAGCGCTCCTGGTCTTCCCTCTTGCGTTTGTTAATCAGGTGATTTTCTCCCTCACTCTGCTTTCCCTCTGGAACACCCAATGTTCTCAGACAGACAATAGCTGCAGCCTGTTCTGCTAGTTTCTTTGACTTGTCCCTGAAGAGCAAGCAGACAGAGCACAGGTAAAAGTAGAAACTGAAGTCTCTACACTGCCAAAAGACAATAAATTTCCTGTCTCTGATGCAACATCATGAAATAAACAGCATCTGTAGTCATCTCACAGCAGACGAACAAAATAGGTCAGTTGCAGAAATTATTTGAATCTTGCTAGGTGTCAATGTTGACGCCTGTCTCCTGACATAATGTTCCTAAAAAAATCTACTTCTATCAGGTCTTGCATCTCAAACACTCTTCACTTCAAAGGTCTGAAGTCAACATGTGTTCAGCCCAAGTGGTTGCAATCATCAGAAAGTTAACATTTACAAATATGATCACTAAACAAAACTGAGTTTTGAAGGATCACTTTCTAAAAAGACACTCAGGCTCAAATATAATGACTGGTAGGCCTACAAATTCATTGATGCTGACAAAAACAGGAACTATTCCATAATAATAAAAATACTGTCATTTCTGAGAGGGACTGCAGATTGCACATTTGTGAAATTTGATATTTGAAAACATTTTCTTCTCAAAGTTTCATATCAGCTGAGCTTAACTTCCTTAAGTGTCTGAACAGGAATGCTGCAGACACCAGTAACTGTTGTGTGCATTTGTTGTCTTTAAAATGTTTAATGCTGAGGTCTAGCTTTGCAGTAAAATCAAGTTCAACTTGGGTGCAAATGCCTGAAGTCAACTCCAGTAATAATAGATGATTGTATAAAATACCATCGTGAAACTTTAGAGCAGACCTGGATGTAACTATTGATTAACTGTGATCTCTGAGAAGCCACCAAACTGTCCTCTGCTTCGCTGTATATAGACACTTAATCCTGACTTGTTATTGAGAATGGATCTGCTGTAGTGGCTGAAGACATTACCTCCTCCTATGTTCCCCTCTGCCTCCCTTGGTTAGTTTCTGAACCAGGTCACCTATTTGCTCCCCTTCCAATAAAATTTGTGGACTAACGTATTACGTGATTTAAAATCTGTAATGGTTTACTGATTATGTTAAAGCTTACTTCCTCTTGTCACATTCAATTCTCAGAAATTTTTAATCCTTTCTCCCTCCTAGAGGTAGCTTTAGAGCATAGGTTTTAGTTGACTTTAGCAAAGTTAACCATAATAAACTGGAGTACCCTTTCATTGCAAGTTTTAAGCAACGTTTCAGAAACAATTACAATACAGCTGCAAAAACCATTAAGGATAGCTTACCACAGAGTTGATCTGTATTTTTGCTCAGCTACTGTCACTACTGAACAGAATAATCTATCCAGTGGCCTTTGAACCTGGAGAAAAAAAGAATTAAAAGGGAGGGGGAGTGTCAAAAAGCAGTCATGTCATTTACAGAACAAACATTGTCAGGGTTCCTTGTTATTGTCTTTACACCACAGCCAAGTAACACCTTTAAAATTACTGTAATTCACACCACAAATTTAACCTTGCATATTTAAGATTAAGAAAAGAAGAAATTGTCCAAAACGAAATATTCTGGCTTTACAAAAAAAAAAATAATGAAATAACGTCCCCACCCAACCAAGCAGTTGCTCCTGTCCAGTAGAGTTCCTACCTATAACAGTGTGCAAAACATTCTGAATCCAAATTCTTTACTTAATAGAAGTAAAAGAAAGTCAGTCATGAACCCCTATGTAATAACCTGCAGTTACAGCAACTTCTTTCACACATGAATCAACACCAGACTGAAGGTCTGACTTTTCATTTTTATTTTCTAATAAAATAAGCTACTGTTTTCATGCATATGTGTATTACCACTTCTGAAGCTGCTTACTCAAGAGCTATGCCAGACTGGGAAACTAAATTTCTCACTACTTTGAGTCCTAAAATACTTAATTTCATAGACAAGGCAGAGAAAGAGGTTTGAAAGGGTTCTTCATTGACTCACAGTTTCATAAACAGGCTGAGGATGCTTTTCTTTCCTACACCATTCCAGAAGATACATTTTTGGAGTAATCTGTGGTGGATATTCTCGCCTATACAGAAAAATTTGTGGTCAACAACTGTGCACAGAGTTTATTTACTAAACAGATCTATTTTAAAACAGATAGTGCTACTTATTATATTACTTCTACCAGTTATTCTTCGTGGTTTAATTTTACCACTCAAATTAAGAGAAAAATGCTGCTTCCTTATTAGATAATTCAAGTGATATGTCTGACATAACACCTAAAATAAAATCTAAGCTTTTCTATTCATTCTTCCCAGTCACATCCTGTAGTAATACAACTAGCAAGAAGGTACGTACCAGAAAGGAGATTCTAACTAAATATACAACACAGATTAGAGATACAGTTTGGCACTGCTTATTAGAAGCAACAATATAAGATTAAGCACTAGAAGAAAGAAAAGAAGCTGCTTCTGTTATGGGACTGTAGAATTATCAAATAAAAAAGGGTAGGAAAGGTAGGCATTGATTCAGTTAGACATGGAATTACAGCCCCTTCTTCTTGGCAGAAAAAAAGAGATACTGTAAAACCACTGTATTCAGTCCTCAGGGATTCAGACAATATATCCTGTAAACACTAAAGCATTATGACTGGATTTGAGGAGCATTTTCTATCACACTCTTCTTAAACTGTTTGACAGACTTAATAGCAAACACAGAGAAAATAGCAAACACTAGTATAACATGGAAAGTAACAGCAATTTTATGTGTTTCACGGATTATAATCAAAGGTTACTTAATATTGGGCACAACTCCATGAATTAGTTTTTCAGGGAATGCCCTATGAGTGGAGCTCATTTAGAAGACTACAGATAAGCACATATGTTCTTTCAGGAGACAATATTATGAAATTTGTGTGTGACTTCTTATAGAAAAACTATTGTGTTTTAGTTAAATTTCACCAAAAATAACTGAACTATATATGTTCATATACTCACATTCTTCTACATACAGATGTTTGGATTTTTTAAAAAAAAAAAATAAAAAAAATCACTCAGCACTTTCAGTAAAATAACTGAGAGAATTAAGCAGTCTGAGGAAGCCAGGAACTAAAGAACATCTTACAACATCCAATAGCACAGGAAGAATGGTGATGCTAGTGATTATGTAATTATATACACAAATTGCTTCATAAACATTCACTCAGTAAGCCCTCCAATTGCAAATTGTTATTTTCAAAAACTGTAAGGCACTGTCAGATCCCAGTTTTTATTTACAGACACAAGATAGTGAAAAACTTAATTTGCATGCTTACTTGTCAAATCTAACAGCCATTTTTATTACATCTGGATCTTCCATTTGGTCATCTTCATCTTGTGTGTCAGTTTCTAAAGATGTTTTCTTTGTTTCAAAACCAGCTGTTGTTTCTTCATAGAAGTCAGCCATTTCAAAGACTTCACTATTGAAATAGAATTCCTTTGTATTAGAGATCAGCTTATAAATTTTTGTATCACATTCATTCTAATAGAGAAAAGCAGGTATAGAAACCAACTGTGTTTAAGTAGAGTATACGCGCACAGAGAATCACATGAAAATGTGGCTATATTCTGCATGGTGACATTACATTGTTTCTCCTTCAATTCTTATCAGACACTGTTGAGCTACAAGTAGCAACTGTTCTCACTCTCAGCGCTATATATTCAATGTACAGCCTGAAGGTCCAGGCAGAATCAATCAAAAGTACAGATGTGCAATGTTCAAGTTATTAGCTCAATTAATAACTTGCAGGCAAATGAATCAGCAAAGAACATCTCGAATCAATCAGCAAAGAACACCTCCGAGTGACTACTGATGCATCAGCTCCACAAGGGCAGTATGAGCGAAAAGCAGGAAATTGATTCTTCTTCTAATTTTAATATTTAAAAATACTATAAGAAATAAACACTATAACATCTCAGATTTTCTGACTTCAGAGTATTATTCACAAGCCCCAGTACAAAGGAAGAAGCAACTAGGATTTAGGTCAAAGGCAAGAGCCTCAAACCATTTTAAATTTCAGATCCATCACACACTGTATCTACTTTGAAAAACTGAAAGTATTCATTTTCTGAAGATGATAACAACAATAAAAGTTTTCTTATGCTGCAGGTTTTAACTTTTACTTTCCGACTGTTATGAGAATGCTCACTGGTACGAGGCTGTTCAATGACAAAATGAATTCTGGCCACAAAGCCATCTCCAATGCTCTAAGTCAAAAAGCAATGAAGCTGAATAATGCTAACTGATGCTTCTGAGAGAAGACTACTTATGTACTGTTACATGAATTTTTTGGTCTGAAATGCAGCAAGCACCCTGTTCTCTTGCATTCAGTACGGAGGTTAAAACCTCAAATAGCTGTAACATGCCATAACCACCGGGAGGCAGCAGCGTTAAGTAACATTTTTGCCTGAAGACGTCTAGGTGCATTTCAAATAACAATGTGCTTCAGTTACCTGGACACTAAACAGGCTATTTAGAGCACTGGTTAGAAGACAGAGTCTGCTGATAGAAAGCGATTTTATAAATTTTCAAGTGGTGCTCCCTCTGTTCCTCTCTCAGGCACACAAACTGCTTAAGCCACTTTTGAAATTGTTATTGCATCACACCTACAAAAACTAGGAAGCCCCTAAGGAATTGTTAGGTATGGCACATAAAACTGAAAGTTTCACACTAGATCTCTATCCGTGTTTATGTGTATAAATTGTGACTCTTCTAATTACCTGTTTAAAGGCTTGACTCTTACTTACAATTTATTTTCTTTATATACTATGCATTACTTTCATTCAGTAGAGAACATCACCACCTTTTCGGCTAAGATTTATTTGAAGTTGTAAAAGACTGTTTCAGTTTCAATCTGTACTGCATCTCTTCGAACCAAATTGGAAAACTATAAGCAAAATAGATATTAAGTTACTAGACTAAAAATTGTTCAACTACTTAAATTGCAAAAATGAAAAGTAACTTGCAAAGTGTAAATGTTGTTCATGGATTCCACTAATCCTTTATGATTAATGAAGGTTAGTCCCCTCACTGTATGTGGGCAGAAGCATTTAGAGCGTACCAAAATTGGTAAATTGCAATAAAGTGGCAAAATGATTGCAGGCATCTCTATTCATTTTGAACACGAACAGAATGGTGATTAGGGCCTGCTAGAAAACAGTAACTCCATTTGCAAAATATTTCAAGCTTTCAACATTTCTATCCATTTTCATACATTTAAGATAACAAACAGTTTCAGACTGTTTATTTTATAAAAACAAAGACACTCTCTTCCCCTCCATTCCATCAGAAAGATAATTATAGAACACAACATGACATGACACATGCAAGCTCAGACCTTTGTTTTGTTCAGTTTGGGATGGGTCCAAACCTGAATTCCCCTCCATTCTGTGTGAATTCTTTAATCACGTACCTATTTTACGGTTTCTCTCAAACTTTTCCTTCTTCCTTTTCTGTATCCCCCTTTGAGAAATTTCATCCAGACTGTTTCAGATGTCCAGGATGAAAAGATTCATTAAAAGACACTACATTTCCCCAAAAAGGCTGTCATTGTTCATTAGCATATTTTAGGTATGAAAAGCAGCACAAAAGAAATACATTTAAGTATCATATAGGTGACCTTCATACTTGGCTTTGAGTTTATCTGTTAGGTGTTCGTTTAAAATAAACATCTTGTCATAAAAATTCCAGTAACATTAAAAACCCCACAAAGGAAAGTTAAAATACACAGGTATCTCTAGAAGACAAGCTCCATATTATTAACCTCCAAACTACCACTAGAGAATGCTGAAACTTTTCTTAATCAGTTAATGCAAATACCGGATACATGCCTGTCACTCAGTGAAGCACCACTCAAATTAGTATGTCAAATATATAGACAGTTTCAGGGTTAAAGCATTAACACCTAAGCATGGAGGAAACCTGGAAAAGGCATTACTCCACATCTCACTAACTGGATTTTTTTTTTTTCCTGCAACTTCTTCTGAAGGTATGCAATGCCAGGCAATGTTACAGACAGAGAATTGGTTTGCACATCTGACAGAGAGTACAACTCCTATTTCTGAAGTACATGCTTACCAGATCTCCTGTGTGGACTGTGCAGCATGCAGCTTCTTACCCTGAGTAGTTTCCAACTGTTCTCTTAACATCTGACACAAACAGTATTTTGTGTTGGTATAGTGATTATCATATCTCACTGCCTGGAGGAGAGAGGCAAAGTATATAAAAACATACCAAACGAATTTATCTTATGTAACGCTCATGTCTCTTGATGAATTTCAAAATTCTTTTTGAAAGGCAAACCACAATGTACAGTTTTCTCAATAACATATTCAGGACCACTCATAAATGTGAGTATAATCTGATTATTTTGGCATGCTTTCATGCCACTTCTGTTCAACTTACTCGTATACTTATGAAGACAGTTGACCAGTTTACATAACTGACTAGTGATGCAGTGATATTTTAGTAAGGAACTAGTTAATAGCAGTCCAAATTTTCAAAACAAAAAAAAAATTTGAATTGATAATATAATCAAAGGCACAGATTTCTGATGAATTTCCTATTATGTCATTAAAATTCTGTCTTTTGATAATAGATAAAACTTTATAGATGACTCTGCTAATGGACCTATAGATATACAGCATTACTTTATTGGCAAATCATTCCCTTTGCTTCCCTTCTGTTAAGAATTCTTGACAGCATTTGTCAAAAAAAAAAAAAAAAAGCAATTAATTTCTAAAAATGAATCTAGCCGTAACTGAGTATCTAATATTCCTGCACTTTTCTGTTCAATGTTATTTGTACTACTGTAACATCAAGAGAGCATATAATTTACTTTTCAAATTCCTAGGTATTTTTAGATAGCCTTGTAAGCCTCATAAACGTTCCCAAGAAACTAGGGCTAAAAGAGCATAGTACATAAGAAAAGAATGATCAGGAAAAACTGTTTTCTGAATACAGATTTCTGATTTTTTTTTTTCTGAACAAAATAAAACAGAGGAAGCAGTGGTTGACTCATGTCACGTGCAGTATGTTAAAATATCCCCAGAGCTTAAGTCTTTGAAAGTAAGAGGAGTTAAAATACTGTATTGAGATTTTGATTAACAATTCTAAACAATGTTATCTACAAGTAAGATCTTCCAAAAAACATACATATTTGATGTAATCTTGCATGACTTCCTTCAAGGGGAAAAGACCCTCTTTTCTGAAGATAGATGGGTTCCACATGGCGGCACGAGCTATCATTACTGATGAGGCAGCTGTTGCTTTCCGGAAGGTCTCAATGTCCGTATATTCTTTGATGAAGTCATGAGATCCTCCACTAAAAATTAACATCACTGTTATAACCATGAAAGTTTTATTTGCTATTACTTGTACTTTAACTCAGCCTTGTATTTTCAAGGTGATATTACATTATTAATGGTGGCAGAGTCTATTTAGGATATTATCTCAAACCTAAGAGAATAAGCGGGTCAGCATTTTATTAGCAATGGCTCATTAAAACACTGATTATATATAATATTTTTAATTATCTGCATAATTCTGTTAAAAACAGAAGACTTTTTATGAAGAAAGAATATAGAGTTGGGGGGGTTGAGTGGTTTTTTGGTTGTTTGTTGGGTTTCTGGGGGCTTTTTTGTTTGTTTGGGGGTTTTGGTGGTTGGTTTTTGTTTTGGTTTTACCCAAACTCTGTGCTTTCACACAGTTCCTAATGGATAAGGCTCACAAAGAATCACTTCCATGCCATTTCAAAAATGATACCTTGTAATTGCTAGTTCTGTAACTTTCAACTGCATACTAATCGGCTTGGCAAAAGTGATACTGAAAACAAGTTAAGTATGGACAGCAGCATTCCATTTTCACTCTGGCACTAACATATGGAGAGTAACTACAAGTAGTACCTCTGGATGAGTCACAAAGCACTTTAAAGTTAAGAGAAGGTTGCATTGCTTCTGTTGTACTGCCTCTGCATTCAAGTCAGCAAGACATTTTAGTAAGCAATGAGAACACTTAGAACACCTTTTCTTTCTCTTAAAGTTTCCCTTCACAACATGTTTTAAATGTAAAATAAGAGTTGGACTTTTGAACTATAGAGTAGGATCTTTATTCCTTCAAAAGTAAAAACACTGTCAAATTCAAAATACAAACTAGAGAATGATAAATTACCTTAAACCCAGATATTTACATTGTAAAGACAGCACAAGCGAGCTTCCTGCACTTAAACACAGTACCATTCAAGAAATCATAGTACCAATTCAAGTTTTCTTGCCTTTTTTTTTCTAGCACCAGTCTACTTCCTTTTATTCATTCCTGTATATTTCCTGACCAAGCTTGAGGTACAAATAGTTAGAATTCTCAAAATGCTAGCCAAGTAAGTTACAGCAGAGGTCAAGTATCGTGGATCAAATATATTTAATAAGCAGGATTCCAAGTTGCACATTTATATTTCTTTAGAGAGGGGAAAGTTTCACTAAGTGGATTTAAGACAAAGATCATACCCTTTGCAGAGAAACAATTAAAAAAATAGGATTGTTAAGGTTAGTTCAGCATGTTGTGACACTGGCAAACAAGTAAATTGATATAGGGATTAATCAGGAGCAGTTTATCAACAATAAAACTGTGATATTTTTGTATCTTACTTGCACACTTCTACATCAAAGAAAGTACTCATACAGAGCTGACATTTCTGTGACATGCATAAAATCTAAGAAAAATTGTTAGCCTCCTCTTTTACCTAGGCAAATAAAGGCTTAATGGCAATGTTCACTGTGAATTTTGCTTGTCTTTTTAATTCCATATTGTTTAAAAAAAAAAAAAAAAAAAATCATTCTGAAAACTAGAAAGGGGGTGAACCATGGAAAATTGGATGAACAAAGATTATCAGCATGGAATATTTCCTCTGTCCAGTACAGAAACAGGTTTTCTAGCTGCATAAACTGTGACTGTCGATGTATTTTCTACATAGAAACGTGCACAGGAAAACAGTTCTCAAATTCCTGATGCAAGCACATGGTTTGCAGAGATGCAGCTTTTCCATGAAAACTCAAGATCAACAAAGAGAACTTCATTTAAGGACACTGCTTCTCTGGCCAAGGTTATTCTACTGCCACTTCTAAAGATGCTGGTCAGGCAGATCAGATACAATTCAAGACAGTTCGATACTTTTCATTATCTCCAAAATTGCTCTTAAAACTTACCTGTATATAGCTAAACTTCTCTAAGACTGAGTTTCTTACTTTACTATCACAGAGTTAATGAAGTATCTGTCAATACAAGCAGACTGATTCAGTGGGATCATGTCCACATGTCTGGAGGCTAAGGAGGTCTTTAGGAAAATGTGAGGCCACAGAATGTAACACTCTGCTTTTGAGCAGTGGGATGGGTGATCTCTAGCGTGCAAGTGTCCAAGATACACAGCGGTAGGTTTATTATAACCAGTCACTGCACAGGGCTTAAAAGCATAGACAATTCAACTGCTGGATGCAATCAGAAACAACTTGCATAGGACAGATTGTGACACACAGAATCACAGGGTTTGGAAGGGACCTCCAGAGACCACCCAGTCCAACCCTCCTGCTAAAGCAGGTTCACCTAGAGCAAGCTGCATGAAAGCAAGACTTTCAAAACACATGCAATTTTTAAACTAAAAACTGAGGTATGGTGTTATTTCACAAGGCCAGCTTCTGTCACTGCTACCTCTATTCAGGTTTGATCTTTAGTAACAGGTAATATTGTATATACCCTACATGAAGGAACTCCTGGCACTTGCAAATCTTAAGTTAGGTACAGGCATCTTGCAATGACAAGCAAATTAGTCCAACTTACTTTGCTATTACTGGAATGGAGACTGCTTCAGATATGGCTTTGATCACATCACAGTGGACAGGGTGCTGAGGCCTCTCCTCCTTCTTCCTTTCCAACAAACAAATAAAGACCAAAGATTTCCTATGGAATTTGTAGATATCAATCACAGCAGACATGTCTCAAGGATCGTTGAGACTTACTCATTTCTGCATATTTACTTTTATTTTTTTTAAAACAAGAGAACTATATAAAATACATTTTAAAACATTGTTACTGTAATGCCATATCCAGATAAGCAGCATTTTTTAGATAAAGGGTATGAGAGAGAATTTTAGCTTTATTTGGTCTTTAAGACAAAAATTCTAGAAAAACAGCAGCAAGTGGTTCAATTTCCTAATCACTGAACTGATTTTCTACAACAGTTTAGTTAACAGTTGAAATCAGAACGAAATATTTCATGTAGAGTATACTCTAGTCATATCTTGCTGTGCTACATTCACCAGCAAACTAAAAAAAAAAAAAAAAAAAAAAAATCCTAAGTCTCTCTTGCCTAAAATAGATTTACCTTCCATGGACTGCAATGGCAGCAATACCAGTTTTTTCTATTCTCTTTACCAGATTCACAGTATCCTCAACCTGAGGGATAAGAGAGAAAGACATTATTTTAGTTCAAAGAAAAAGGAATAACTATCACATGATCATTGTACAAACAAACGTTGGGAGTCTTTTCTTTCATCAAGATGGATATGACTCCTGCATTTCAACAGTAACTCCCAACATGCATAACCATTTCATAGATACTTCAATTAAAGAACTACATAGTATAGCAAAAATAAGAATCCATTTTCAGTACTTCCTTGAAACTATTGATCACAAACTTTCTCAAACCACATAACACAATACTCTGTAGTAGTAGAATATTTTACAACACGTTTTTAGACTGTCATTTGAAAGTGATACAAAACACTTGACTAGCAAGTCCTCTCTAATGACTACTCTAAATTGTAATTAAAATGCATCTTAATAAGAGGATGCCTTCTGAAATCAACATAACATGCAATCACACAATTATAAATATTCCTCTCAGACATGTCTTAAAAAAAGCTTACTATTATCTAAAAAATTCTAATGCTATTTGCACATGACCAGTGAATCAAAAGATACAGGGGAAAAAGGGGAAGTTCCCAGTATATCTTCAAAGAGGTGAGATGTTATTAAAAGGCAGAAAGAAATTTGGTGCACTGCTGAATTAGCCTATCTTATGCAGCTTTGGGAAAAAGAGAATGAAAAAGATAAGGCCAATTTTCTTTTCAAAAGCTGGATAATGATCCGTGGCTCATCACAAAATTAGCACATTCGGTCTTTGAAAAATGCAACATCTACCAGCTGGCATGGACATAGAGACAGAAGCTCACCTGCTGTTCTGATGGATTACATGTTATGAAAAAGCAGCTTGAAACAAAAAGGAAGAGGCTCTAGGATAGTTGTAGAAAATAAAAAGGAGAGGTGACAGTTCTTATTTAATACTTCAGTACTTCAAAACCAAAGTGTTCTTACACAGAATTACTGATTCTTTTCACTCAGGCTTCATTTGTTCATTTAATCATTTTAAATGCACACGTAAATGCCGACTTTTGAACAATATCTAGCTCAGTTACAGTTCATCCATCTACAGAAATATCTATCCCCGTCATACACAATCATGGTATCTGGGCAGGTAATTTAATACACATTTGCAAAATAATCAGTTGTTAAAAGAGAAGGCACAACATCTCCTGGAGGTTTAACAATAAGTAGGGAATTTAACTGAAAAAATACAGTAAGGAAACTACATGAGTTGTAAGAAAAGAAGAAAGAACCTATGTATTTTCACTACATTACAACAGTTAAATTTTAGAAAAATACCAAAAAAGCAAAATGTAGCAGCTTTAGCAATGTAACAGTCTTACCACAATTTCTTTGAAATTAACAATGGTACCCAAGAATCTATGCAGGAAAAAGTAATTCTAATTGCAGTGAAGATGCTGCTTCTGAGAAGGAAGATTATGAACCTCTTTGTATAAGCTAGCAATTTCAGTGCTTCAATCTATCAAAGAGTTTCTAAAAATGCTGCAGAAGCTGTTTTTAATTTGGGTATCATTTATAGTATTTATTGCTGTCATTGCACATACAGTAACTCAGGAGTCAAGTAATGCAAAGTTTCCTTCAATGTAGAATACAAGTAGTTTATAGAGCACAGGCAGTTTCTTTTCTAAACACAGTTTCATTAGTGAAATCTTCATTATTAACACGAATGTTTGAAGCTGGAGAAGTAAAATTAGGACTTGCTCTTCCCCTCTGAAGTTTAAACTTCAAGCAGACTGTCAAGAAATTCAAAGTTCATCACACTGTACTAAAGTACACATGACATTACTCTCAGTCAATTCCACATTTGGCATCTTATTCTAACATGAGAGTGCATTTTTCCTTTTTATTTTCATTTAGTGCTTATCCACCAGCAAAAGCTTTGGGATTAACTCAGTGGGTTACAATAAACAGACTAATGAAAGTATCCACATTTGGAGTTCAATGGAGTAAAACCATGCGCAGGTATCTAAAGTTTAGTATTTTCCTGACTTTTTAAATTAGAAAGGCGAAATGAAGTTTGGCATCTGATGTGAGCAGCCAGAAAGGCAACCTGGTTGGGAGGGGAAAATCACTGAACAGAAGAAAGTATCTTCTGAAAAATACTGAGAGAGAAAATACCTGCCAGCCTGAAAACCATTAGCCTGGGTACTAGGTCTGTGAACCAGAAGCTGCAGCTGGGTACCTAGAAACCAAACAACATCCTGAGATACCATTGATAAGCACAAAACCAAGGAACTATATTAGCAACTTATCTGAAAAGGTAAAAAAATAGTCTGGAAAAAGGGAAAAACAGCCGAGAAAGAAAGAATCTGTAACTGCCATTGGCTGTTCTAACTGCAAGAATGGGAAAACAGCCTGTAAAAACCAAAAATTGGTCTGAAAGAACAGAACACAATCATCTGTTTGGCTGTCCCAGGTGAAAAATAGGAATTAACAGCATCTACTGGCTGCTCAAGGGGTGGTGTCCTACACCCTCTTGTGTCTCTGACAAAAAAAACCACTTAATTTTTATCCAAAAACGGAGCTTCTCTCTCTCCGAGAACTTTCTGTGCTGCACATGCTTTTCCTTTTCTTAAACAGGTTGAACTCTCTGCACAAACTTTCTATAAGATCCTGCACTCTTGCCAGGGATGCCTGGCTGACTGCAAACTCCATGACACAGATCATCTTTGGAGTAGATATCTGCTTTATTTTATTGGTCCCCATCTGGGCCTACTTTTGGGATTGATTCAGTTTGTCCTTCCATCTGGGATAGTTTGGTCCCCTGCGGAGATCTGCCTAATGCACTTGATACCTGTATTATTACTATGAACATACGTATATATATGCATAAGTAATCTATCATATCTGCTATTATTGGTAAGTTTGCTTCATTAGGGATAAGTTTGTAGTAACTTGTAATAGTATATACTGACTTAGTTGTTGCTGTTACTGATTGTTGCTATAATTGATTGCTGCCATATTATTCGTTGCCGTTATACTATTAAATGTTGCTACTAATAATTTGTAATAGCTTGAGATATATCTATCTATATCTTGCTCTATTAATCATAAGTATATTTGCTACAGTGATTTCTGTGGTGTTTGTGGTAATGTGTAATAAAGTCAAGAAATTTAGAGGATCTGTGTCCTTGTGTACCATGGAATCTGACAAACCCACAATCACGATCACTACACAGCCACAGGTTAGATAACCCTTCAGGTCATGACAGCATCCCAAACAGAAATTATAATCTCAAGTGCTATTTCACAATAACAGGTATAAAATGCCAATGTATTAGAATGCCATATATTCTAGTTGATTTTAAATCACAGAATTAAACGACAACTAAATACTTTAGCATAATGATTTATGTTCTTACTGAGGGCAAAATACGGATTTTGCAGGTTACTGGTTTACAAATCCCTTTAACAAGGGTAGTCAGTATCTGGAAAATAAAGAAAAAAGACAAAACCATGATCACAACAGTGACATTAATAAAGCTCTCCTCTTCTCTCAAAGATACAAAGAAATTAGAACAATGTAACACTAGTTACTGTTCCTCTGTAAAGAATCTTACACACTAAATGAACACGTGCAGTCTGTAATTGAGTATATAATTTTATCTGATAGATATACAAACGTATTTCTAGTCTAAGCCATTTTTATTTCCACTTCTTTGTTTTTAACTGGAGCTTTACAGAGCAATTAACTGCTGCTGGAGTTTCAACATTGGTTTTAATATGAGGTGACCAGTAAACCGTGATCATTTCAAAATAAAGTGCAAAGGTTTTTGATTTTCATGCAACTGTTTTCACAGTTCTTATATTTGAGTTGCGAGTTTCTTAGGAAAACTATCAAAAAATATCAAGCAACAGCATCACTGAAGTTTCCAAAAGAAAACAAAAATTCTAAACTAATTCACACTTAACACAAAGCAGATTTTATTCACCAAAACAAACTCAGAATATGAAGCCAAATGAGCAGCAGTTACTTTAACCATTTAAGAACCGAGCTACAGAAAGAATCTCCTTTTTGCAGGCTGAATTTAAGCCCAACAAACCATATTTTAAAAGGCCATGTAATAGCCTATACTTGTTTACATCACTGTATGACTATACAACAAATGGTACCAGAAATCCAATAGCTCTCTAAATAAAAGAGTGGAAACTAGCTGATCCTGACTGTTATTAGAAGAACACTTGGTTTTCAACTTTTTGAGATATTATCATGCATGTTATTTACCTCTTGTATAAAATGGCTGGAACTGCAGGTAAATAATTTCTTTCAGAGTTATGTATCCTATGAAACTTTAATTTTGTTTAATGTTACTGCACTTATGTTCCAAATACAGAAATGAGCTGTTATAGCTAGCACTCAAGTTCTTAGAAAAGCTGGCAAGTAATTAGTGTCACCTTGCACTGTCTGCCCAAGTCATTCCTCAGTAGTGTTCTCTCAAATAAAACAGTAAGATCCAAGAAAATTATCTAAAACCACCCCCTCTAGTATTTCTAATTTGTATTTTTTTTACATATAAATTAAACTGAAATGACATCATTTTCCAATCATCATCACTGTAATATTTTTCTTCCAATAGCTTCATAAGCAAACCTTGTAAGTTTTCAGTGTCAGCCTCATTGAGGATTCCAATGTGAGAACCAAATCCTACACTTTTTAATCATATGGAAAGCTTGATCTGGAGCTGTAATTTCAGATGCCTTTTGCAGGCTGTAAGTTCACATCCATTTGCTGAATGGTCAGTTTATACAGCTTGGGTGGGTCTTGACACCAAAAGGTGCTTACATTTGGCAAAAGGCTAACACTTCATCATGGTTATAACTTCGATGACATGCCCTTCTAATGGCACGTCCTCAGAGAATGAAATAAATGACGCAGGACAACCTGTTTTCATGTCTGAGCTTACAAAGAATAGTAACTAAGCAACAGATCAGCCTGTTGAAACTGTAGAAGTCCAACTAGTCTACAAAGCTAAATGGTGTTATCATAATAAGAGGAAGGATGTACAAGAGAAACACTGACTCAACATTCATTTTAGACAGAAGGAAAAGACATGAGCTGCAGGCATCAGAAAGAGACTGGCTATCTTTATAAAGAGTCATGCAGATGAGTGAAGAACATCTGGTCTCTTCAAAAGACTAACATACATCAAAGAATCCTTAAACGAAAGAACACTCAAAAGCCATATGTAAAAAGGCAGAGCAATACTACTGGTATTTTTGTTTTGTCCAGATCTGCATACTTTTTATAGTATAAAAACCAAAGAATAACTACCTTGAAACATTTGCCACTGTGTACCATGATTCAGTTATTAGTGAGAGGGGAATTGTAAACTAGAATTGCCCTCAGGAACTCTGAAGGATATAGTGAGCAACAAAAAGCTGAGGGGAAGCAAGACAAAGTTCAACTCATCTGAACTATGAAGAATCAGGTCTTTAAACAGAAAGATAGTAAGAGAACTATGTACTAAGAATGTTCCTGGAAACCCAGAACACTGTCTGGACATTCTTTAATCTCAGGAAGCTTTGAAGTCCTTATGGGGAAAAACAATATATATATAAAAGCCTATTATATCCCTATCTATATTAAATAGAGATAGATGTGTATATACACCTAGCGTGCCCTCTCTCTCCCCGCCCCCCCAGCTATCTATATAGCTATATCTTTTTCCTGTAAGTTCATATAGGTTTCCTATAAGTTCATATAAGTTTATATATATAAGAATATATATACACATGCATGAGCCTTTTCCATATTGATTCATAGTGTTTTATACAGATTTACATACATATGCACATAAAAATTCTCCTTCTGCAAATACAGCACCACATTGTGAAAGTTTTAAAACTGAAAAGGAAGAAGATAGCAATCTTGTAGTCCAGACAATGACAAGGAGAACTAAATTGGGATTATTTATCCATAACCTTAATTACAGTACTCAGAATTGATTATTGCATTCTAGCTTTTACAAATTCATCTCTTAGTCGTTCATTCCTGCCTCCAGTAGAGCACAGTACATATTTTCTAGGGCAGTTCAAAACTCACAAGGTGATACTTACAGACTCTATTTTGTCAGGATCGGATAGCAGTGCTGCTCCCATACCACCCTATGAAAATATACAGAAACTGTTACACACTAGGAAAACACATTTTTCAACTCAATTATTTTGCCTAAAATGGCAAAAATCAGAAATGCAGGACCATTAGTGAACACTTTGATGAAAAGCATTAAAGCATTTCCTAGAACTGTATCAGAATAATTAAGCACTAATTGAGGGCACCAACTTGCTCCCATTACTTTATGGAGCAGACAGGATTTCAAAAAGCCACTTTTAGCAACCATAATCATCTGGTTTCTACTCATTGACAGCTGAACAGATCTATTGTTTTAACACTATACACCAAATTTGAGAGGTCTTGATATCAGTAGTTTCTGTCTACACACTACATTTAGAAAAAAAGAGAAATCAAGTAGCCGTACTGAACACAAATCATAAACACTTTAACAATTTAACCTTTTAGCTGTTCTTTCTGCACTAATCCGCATACATAGATCTAAACACCAATAGGCAGACATAAGAAAAGTTCAAAATTGTATGAACTTTTTTGAGACAAAACTACTTTCAGAGAATAACCATTCACCAGCATTTGTGGCCAGCAGGTTGAGGGAGGGGATTCTACCCCTCTGCTCTGGACCCCCTGGAGCCCTGCGTCCAGCTCAGGGGTCCCCAGCACAGGACAGACATTGACCTGTTGGAACGGGGCCAGAGGAGGCCACAAAAATGATCCAAGGGCTGGAACGGCTCTCCTGGGAGGACAGGCTTAGAGAGTTGGGTTGTTCAGCCTGGAGAAGAGAAGGCTCTGGGGAGACCTTATTGCAGCCTTTCAGTGTTTAAAGGGGGCTTATAAGAAAGATGGGGACAGACTTTTTAGCAGGGCCTGTTGCAATAGGACAAGAGGTAATGGTTTTAAACTAAAAGAGGAGAAATTTAGACTGGATAGAAGGAAAAGGTTTTTTTTACAATGAAGGGGGTGAAGCACTGGCACAGGTTGCCCAGAGAGGTGGTAGATGTCCCGTCCGTGGAAACATTCCAGGCCAGGCTGGACAGGGCTCTGAGCAACCTGATCCAGTTGAAGATGTCCCTGCTCATTGCAGGAGGTTTGGACTAGATGGCCTTTAAAGGTCTCTCCCAACCTAAACCATTCTATGATTTGAACTTTTGATCTTTCATCCTAGTACAGGGTGGATGTTTTGGTGTCTTGTCTTAAGTATGATTCTGTGGAAGGATAAATTAGTCTTCTATGTAATTAGTTATAAACACAGAAGAAAGTAATAAAGGCTAAAGAAAACATTACTAGAAATATCATCAGACCATTATGAATTTAATTACATGTTCTCAACATGACTACAGCTCCTTGGTAATACCACTTTATCTTAAAACCAATCTTTCAGAAAAACAGACGAAGTTCAGAAACAACAGAACCTAAATACATAAATAAAATGGCTCCAGAATAGGGGAAATAAAAATTTGAGTTTAAAAGAACATAAAATGTTTATTTTCACCACACCTCACTTAACCTTGTCATTTTCATAAGTTATCATTGAAACAAACAAAAAAGCCCTAGAAATGTATGTGGGTAAAATTATTCACAAGTTAGATGGAATATATTAGAAGAACTTAAGTAATTATTCTTCAGAGTGCAAGCCAACCCACAAAACTAAGAAGCAGTAAATCACAAAATCCCCTTATAAATTGATCTGTCCTACGCCTTTCTTGCTCCATTGCCTGGTACTTTCAACACTGACCATTGTCAGATCCAGGCTGAAACACTATGAACTGCTGAAGTGAAGATAGTAGATACCCAAGAAGTGTCCAACATTCTTAAACACCTTATATGCTCCAAAGGACAAGCAATCTTTGTGAAGGAAACACATCAGCCCTCTCTTATATACTCCATGTACAGTCATTAGGACCCTTTGGTTCTTCTGTTCTGAAACTCCATGATGTATTCTGTCCTTTAATTTCTTTAAGGTGATGTAGTCTAAAATAAACCCTTTCCAAGTAGTTTTATCAAAAGATGTGTTCCACTGATGGAAAATAAATCCATTTAGACAAAGCATTCTTTTCTCTTAGCTGAAAAACTGAGAAAGGAAGACAATATACTTATGTGGAGTAGAGACTGTACAATGTTATGGCATCACGCAAGGTACAGGCGTGTTCAGCAGTGTCAGCTTTGGCCTTTACTATTCCCCGTTTTAACAACATTGCTTTCATGCACCAAATACCTCATTTCAACTGGCCATGTGTTTATGCACCAGATACAATAAACAGCCACAGAATTCCAATTTTTTCTACTGTGAAAGTGGAGAGGGGAAAAAACAACAGTTTTACTTGTTCCACAGGCAACCTGGTTTAACAGCAGAAAATAAATAAACTCTATAAAAGCTCAGGCTGGTATTAGGAATTAGGGCAGATTTCAAGCTACCATTTATTTACATTTGTGCTCTTGCTTTAGTAAAAGGCTTCCATATGTAAAGACATGTAACACAGAATTAGGAAGTGAAAGTACTGCCTATGTCAATATACTGTTTTTTTCTGAATAAAGGATGAAGCATTACAGCTTCAAATGACAGAGAACTTGCTCCAAATGCTAAAAATGCCAATACTACAAAGACTAAAGGATAAACAGTTTAAATGCAACAGTCAGGCTTCTTCCCTAGAATGATGTTTTAAGTCTAAGTTGAAGTTCTTTTTCTTTGTCAATAAAAGCAAAATTTCTTTTTATTCTGCAGGAACATCTGACATCAAAACAGAGCTCCATACTCCAATTCATTAATATTTCATCTATATACTAACTGGCTTAACACTGGGCTACTCTGTTGTAGCCACTGATGGTAGAGGACTAATTTACTATTGCACGTGCTTACCAAAAAAAAAACCCAAACCACCAAATCAAGTTTTAACTGATACATCCATTTCCCACTTTAAAACTGACCAATAATTGAACTCAGCATTGCTAAGTTGCAAATGTTTACTTGCTAGATGAAAAACTGCAATTCCTATTTTTTCTAAGGCTAAGAACAACATATTTCACTCATCCAACAAATTAGTGACCTCAGGAAAACAAACCAAAATAAACCCCAACCCACTTCATTTTATCCTGCCTTATAGAATTTACTTTTGATAGCAAGATACAACATAGCCTATCAGAATTTTCAGAATTATAAATAAGTGTTAATTTTGTACAATAATAGAATTTTACAACCTCGTTACATTTTCCTCAATATTCAGTGGTTGACTTGACAGAAAATACAAGCACCACTTGCTCAGTGGTACAAGTCCACACTAACCTTAGCTTACAACCTTCATATATGCTCACCCACTCAAGGATGTGGTACATTTAATTACATGACCAAACTACTTTTAAGTAAAATTTCTAATAGACTTACTAATCTTACTGTATTAGGGCCATGACACCTTCAAGACTCGTTTGTTTATCACACAAAAAAAGTAAACTGAAGCTTATCTGCATGAAAATTTCACTGCTTGAATTTGTTCAGCCCAGAAAACCAGGACAGGTATTCTGCATTCTATACTTCTAAGAAAGAAAAAGCTTATTTAAGAGTCATCAAAACGCACTTGCCTTAGTAGAATATTCTTTTGGGCATCCCATATTGATATCAATGCCAGCTACATCACTCTCTCTGAAAGAGGAGAAACAATTAAAATATTTTTCAGCTCAATAGAACAAGAATCAGGAAATATGCATCTTTCCAGGAAACTTTTTCCATCATCATTAAGGCTTAAATGAGAATTTAAGCCTTAAGTTATTTGAACTCCTGAGTTTTTAGCTTCTTGCTTATATAAGATACGTATTTATTTTAACAGTGGTCTGAAGATCAGATTGTCCTGAATATCAGGTTTCAATGACCAGTGTCATGCAGAAGCTGCAGACACTCATCTTAAACATGATTATATAGGATTAAGTATACTAAGTGTATCTGCCACTAAATTCACCACTGTCACTAAAGCAAGACCTATTAAAACTTCCATCTATTTAAAGTGGAGGCTTTAAAAAGGTTTGAGACACACTTTTCATTTCCACACAATATTTTATTGGGGGCTTCAAACCATAAACAATAGGAGGCATTTTCAGAAATACTGGTCTTACTTGCAGCTGTGCAATATACCCAGGGAAATTTGTATTGGAGAGATCAAGGACACACCACACTAGCAAAAAGCCATCAAGCCCAGTAGAGAACTTATGCAGCTGCTGTTTTGAGCAAGAACTATTTTAAATAGAAGTTGCAGTTACACTATTATACCACTGGCCTTTTGAGATTATACACTTTTCTGTGCAGCTCCCACGGAACTTTTCTTGGTCCAATCAAGACCTACCTTGATCCTCCCAATCATAAAGTACTGTCTTCCACGAAAAAACCCAAACAAACCCATGGTGGGAAGGGGGTGAGAGAAGATGACTTACACAAGCTCAAGAGGATTTAAAATTATAAAATACCATCAAATCAGTAAAAAAATGCACTCACTTGCACATGTGTATAACTATATTTGCTCTAAGTGACAGACCCATGTACAGCACAATGGAGAGCTAAAAAATTTAGCTAAAGCATGCAGTAGGTTGGCCACCAAATGACAAAAGGTGATGGAAAAAGGGATCCAGAGAGGTCTGTCCACCCTCTTAACCTATAGCAGTATCAAATGTTCTTAGCCCATCACCATTAGATATTCCTTTATCATGTTCTTAGGAAGCTCCACTAATAATAATTCTACAGCCTCTACAAGAAGCCAACTCCAGGACTATCATTACCACTGAAAAAGGTCTTTTTCAATATCTAATGCAGTCCACGCTTCTCCCTCCCTCAAACCCCCACCATCTCTTGTCCTACACAGAGTGGTCTCAAAGAACAAATTACCACCTTTTCCTCTCCAGCAGCCTTTAATCCATCTGTGCAATGTTAATGCACACACTAATCCTCTCAGTAAACAGTTGAGACTGTTTACTGGACAGTGCAAGGTTTAAACATGCATAAAGATTTAAACATCAGCATAAATTATTTTTAGTATCTATACATTTGGAAATATATCAGACATCTATTACAAAAACAAGAGCACAGAATTCATCTTAATCACTTCATCTGAAAACAGCTGTTCAGACAGCTTATAATGTAGCATCTTAACTGCACATGTACCAACAGATTAGAAATTCTGCAACACATTTGGTATGAAATTTTACATCCACTGAATCATTAAGAAAGTGATAGTCTGCAATATAGAGAGCTGCTTTAGACTTAGATTAATGTTACTAGCACTACCTTGTTTAGTTATGTTGTTATTAGAAGAGTCGGTTTCTTACCATCTGAAAGACAACATGGTGCCTCTCCCTTTCACAAGTTCTGAAAACAACTCTTTCATTAGGTGCAACGAAGTCCACTGTTTCAAGTACTTCTATATGAAAAGAGAAACAGATAAAACAGACAAAAATGATATACAAACGTAATCATAAAGTCATATGAGTATACAACTTCTATAAAAATGAAATGCTATCAAGTAAGTCTTCAATGAACAGCAGAACTAATGGCACCCTATCTCCTATACGTCTTTGCAGCTGTTTCCCTCCCACAGTATTCCCTAATCACAGCCCAGCCTGTTTCTTGGGCAAGCATCAGCACCAGAACAAGTCTAATGATTAACCAGCCAGAATGAACATAATGTTACTGTCTTCGGGAAGAAACAGGAGGGGAAAGTAGACTCATAGTGGACTTCTGTTCCCCAACAGGGACATTACGAACAACTGGTCCTCATGCCACTCAGCTGGGGAGGTCTCAAAGATATCTTTTTAAGAACTTGTCTGTGAAAATCATGTTAGGCCAAATCTAGCCCATGGACCTCAAGTTAATAAAAGAATGATAAACAGTGAGATCTTGTATGTCTTGCTTCCTTATTGCAGCAGACTAAAAGGTGTGTACAATGTCACAAACAGCTAACGCTTATAAAGGCTCATGATTGGAAACTGTCTCCAAATTTGTTTCTTGGACACTATCAAACTTTTCTTGAAAAATTAAAAGGCTTTGTAACGAGTATTAGTAGTTTTGGTCAGTAAATTAAATTTTATATTAGCACATACACATGTAAAATTTCTGAAAAAAAGCAAAAAACCCAAAATAAGAGTTTTTTACTGTTTCATTATAGTAGCATATGAAGGCAGTAGAGAATGAGAGGCTGAAGCCAGTATGTAGATACAGAATTGAGCAGGGTTATCTGGTAATTAAAGTTTTTTTTTAACCCACATAAAACTAAAAGCTTTAAAATTTTAAACAATGCACTGGAACTTTAATGTCCTATCTATTCCAGCTATAGTTTCTTTCACCTGCTGCCAGGAAGCACAATGCTGAGAACATCAGTAATGGATTTCCAACACTGATCCCATTTTTCTTAATAAAAAGAGAAAGACATAATCCCAGGACTTAGAATTATAAAGTCTTTCACTTTAGAATGCCTGTATCAGCACACCCAGTGACCAGACCCATGTCAAAGAGTTTAACAGAAAACTCATTGAATCCTTGTAATAAATTAAGTCAATGCCAGAGTTACTAATATATTAGCCCTATCCTCCAAAAACATTTATAGCTTTCCTGAAGGATGCTGACTGAACTATTGAAATTCCTCAAGAAGGGAAACCAAAAGTTTGAAACTGTAGAGCAGTGGACAGGTATAAGGTAGAGCTTCAAAGGCTTATTTTAAGTCCCCAGACACTGTTTAAAGAGATTACGCATACTGATACCTCACTGTAAGCACTACAAAATTACTTCAGAGAAATAATTATCTTTCCTCTTAACTAAAAAAAAAAAAAAAAGTTACAGAAATTAACAAAAGAAATGCTGTACTTGCCATTTATAACCCTCTTACACTGCATCATCTTTATGTCAATCAGCTCCTGAGAAGGAAGAATGAAAATATCTCAGCAAGTTGAAGTGTTTAAGCCACACAGCTATAAACAGTTACCCATTTTATTAGCTAAGAAAAACTGTAGAAATATCAAATATAGAAAGAAAATGCATATGAAAAAAAGTAGTTTAGCCATACAACAATCTCAAAAGAGGTTTAAAAATAAGAATAGAACATAAAAACATAAGAATAAAATATGTTTGCATAGCTCTCGAAGAACCCTTTTGTTCAAATACCTATCTAGCAAGCTGGAAAGGAAGCAGACTAAACCCCACCTAGAGCAGAAACAGAAGACAACTCGATGCTATAGCAACAGACCACCTCAAGAAACAATGTAGATTTGTACCAGCCAAACACAAAACAAAACAGCAGTATTAAACTTTAAGGCTTCTTTACCTTAATCCTGACTTTTAATGGTCCTCTCCAGTAGTTAAAAGACAAAATGAAGCTTTGTATTGACCATTATTTGTGAACCTAATGATATACAGTCACTGTTATTCTAGAATTTGTGGCTTGCTCTTAGAAAAAACCCAGAACTTCAATCTACATATATTAGCTTAACTGCAGATTTATGCAATTGAATTTATTAAGAACACCATTCTAGTCCTTTTCTCATATATGTCTCATCAACTTGATTACAGATGATCTTTAGGACAAACTAACTGCCTTTAATTGACAAAGGGCTACAGCTTGAGCCAATATAACTTGTTAGCTGCTGAAATAAATATGCAGCTGTTAATCCAACTGTTATTCAGAAAAAAAAAAAAGCCCCACCACCATGTTATAGTGTTAGTTACCTAAAGAAGTTTAGACTGTGATTTAGCAAATAAGGCAAGGCTTAAGACCTGCTCATTTAAAGGTAAGAGATTAATCAGCAATAAATTAGGCTAATCTCAATCTTCTTGTGTTATACCATAGGTCTTATGAGTAGTGCTTTCAGGTTTTTAACTAATACTCCTTATCAGGCACTGTTCACTTGAAGTTCTGAAGCAGCTTTGAGTTCCAAAATGTTGAGGGAACTGGGGGGAAAGGATTGGAAAACAAACGGATAAATCAGAAAATGAAGTTACAAAATGCAGTTGTTCACACTGCCCTGATGCCAAACAACTGCAGTGTAATTGCCTAAAACAACTGTTTTATTTTATGCTATCTTGTCAGTTCTTAAGAAAACCTACAAGGCATAGTTTCTTTGATAAAATCTATTAAAACCAGTATCTAACTACAAACACTAGTTTATGTCAAAAGCATGTTAACTCTCCCATCTCTCAACAGCAATGTGGAGGGAAAAAACCAACAGACCATGTAGGAGACCTTGTGTTTGAGATAATGAAAACTATAACAGGTTTTTGGCTACAGGAGTATCTTTCACACTATAAATTTTGTTACATACTGCAACTTGTTAAGTAAGTTTGAGGGTGTCCTCTTTTGAGGCAGTGTTTCTCTGGAATTGTGGTGAAAACTGTGTGTGAAGGAGAAACTGCTTTAGCAGTGCACTTTCCAGTGCTGGATTAAATAAGTTCTCATACCCTGTGACTTCAGAAGTCTACAAAGCCATACCTTTATCTGTGTGGTTTGTTGTGTTTTTTTTTTAAAAACTCAAGAATTTCTACATTACTATTTTCCACTAGTTTCCTATACAGTGGCCCTGTCAAACCTGTGGTTAGTGAAATCCAGCAGCTACTCAGTAACAAGGTTTGTTGCTGCTACTAAGAAGTGTAAGAGATACTGGAAAAGTACAAAGGCTGTCTGAAGCCCGACTCACTTTTAGTGTTTAAAACTTCTAGATTCTGTAACTCTGTCCTTATGATTTCTCTATACATGATCTACAGTTAGCCTCCCAGAGAATACACATATATACATATATTCTCACTTAATCCCATGTGAAGCAGTGAGGCTGTAATTCATAAACTGGGAAACTGTTAATTACTGTTTGTCAAAGAAGAAAAACACCTTATTACTCCCAATTTCATGACAGACAGCGGTAATTATTTACTGAATTTTGAGATTTCTTCTGGATCATCCATTCTTTCACATGGAGCTGACTCAGCTAATATGATTTGTAATTCTAGAAACTAGAGACAAAGGGTGAGCTGTGGCCAGGATAAAACCAGCATATTGTCTAAGAACAAATCTTTCCTTTCTTCTTCCCCAGAAAGGGGAGTGAGCTAACTTGAGAGAGAACTGCTGTGAAGATTCCTAAGAACATTGTAAACGACAGATTCTGACAGTTTGTTTCAGCCTGTTCTACTGGCACAGACCAAACATTCTCCAGGAAAGCCAGTATTTAAGCCATGTTTACATTATGTTTAACTCCTTACTGTCTTCTTTTTTTTAAATCTCTGCTGAGTCATGTAACTTGTACTAGTGCCTACCATTGAGAACTAATAATAGCACTGAAGGGGAAAACGAGAATACTGATACACTGGAAGATTGAGGATAGTGAAGACTAAGTACCTTAAGTTACAGTCCTACCAATACTATCTGCAGCAAACTGGAGTCCCAACTTCAGGCAGCTTTAAGGTAAGTGGTTAAGCAACAAGTATAACAGCACTGTGAGGGGTATATATGGATACTCTGGGTTAGCACAGCAGAACTAACCAGGTGAGAGGGCAGGTCAAGTCTAAGCCCTTCCTTCAGTGTTATGACTCTATTCAAAAAACAAAAAAAAACCCCAAACCCCAGAAAAAAACCCCCACAACTCAAAAAAAAAAAACCCCCTAAACAACCCCAACAAAAACCAGAACACAGCAGAATGTGAGGAAATTGTTACGATGAGTGTTTTGTCTAAATTGAACAGTCTTAAAATATGGGTTTGCCATAATTGGCTCAAAGGGAAATGCCTTAAGCCATATTCTTCTTCCCCATTTTTCTAATGAAAATGTATATGTAAAAGGAAAAAGTCCTACAATAAGCAAAGTCTATTTCTACTTTTCTTAATAATGATGTTACCAGATAAAACTGCCTCATCTACTCGTCCTTCATACCTCACAGTACACGATATCAGCACCATAGTCCAGAGCAAGAAGACGCATGGGTAATGTTCCCACTCGTACCATTGGAGCCAGGATTTTCTTTCCTCTAAAGCAGAGAGGTGTGTTCACCGTCATTCCTGTTGCAGTACCACCTGAAAGAGAAAATCAAGGGGTACCCATGGAATGTGATTTTCTACCCGTAAGCGCCAAGAACTTTCCTTCGGCGGGAAGGGGCGGGGTGCGTGACCCTGTCAAACCTGACAAGATTCCCTTATTTAGCTCTCAGGCCGGCCGCTCTACCGCTGCCCACTCAGCTCCCGCGGCCCTGGAGCCAGCCGCCGGGAGCTGAGA